GCATAAAGTGGCTCCTCACCATCATCGTAACTATGTTATTTTCCATATTTGGGTCTAACAATTCCTTCGAGCAATATAATGCTGGCTTATTCGTCACTAGGAAATACTTATAACAGCGTATTATTGTCCTTGGATCAGCATCATAAGAAAACCCAGCGGGTTTTGATAACTTTTTTTAAGTAATATTTTAAAATTATTCTTCGAAAAGTACACACATTTTTTTGCGGATATTAAAATAATTTCTAACTTACCATACAGCATGTTTAAAAAAAGATAATTTGGTCCCTACTAGGAGTTGCTATAATCAAGTTCGTGCCTTAAGTCTTTTGATATTCAACTGAGAGGAAATTTTGGTAAGCGCTTTGTGTTTGTTAATAATAAATCAATGTTAGCGATAATTCAAGATTAATACAAAAGAAAACGTGGCGCGTTTTTGATCGCTAATACGTACTTTCTTATTATTCTTGTTAGTGAATCGCAATGTATCAACGTTTAAGGAAGAATGTTAATCTTAATTTCAAATGTCGGAGCTTTTTGTGTATAATAAAAGAGAAAGGTGGTCTGTTAGAATGAGGATAACTGGCCTCTCATTTATGAGCTCAAAAATAGTTAATTCTAGTGAAATAATTGGAGAAATATTGAAAGCGCTAACCACCAGAAGTTATCAACAAAAATATACATATATGTATTTATTGTTTGTATAAATAGTTGTGTTGTTACTAAATCATCAAATATGCATAAAAACGTAGCATCTCTCTTAATTGCTTATTACATGAAGAGCGCAGTTGTTGTATATTGATTAGCGCAAGTGTTATCCAATATTAAAAAAAAAAATTTACTAAGTATAAATAAAATATTTGAAAAATCAGTTATTTGTTGATTGCTTTAGCAACGATGCAATCATTTATAGGCACGACATTAAATGCATGACTAAGAAAAAATAAAACACATCCAGTTGAGGGTGTAGGAAATAATTATTAATAATAGCATATTGGCGCTTACACTTTTGTTGAGTATTTGGCCGAGCTTCTCCTT